CAGCCACGTCAAATATTTTTGAGGTTGATTTTGACGAGGGTTGTAGTAATGCCCGACCCGCCGGACGTCGTCCGTGGTCGGCGGCTCAGCCGGCCCCAGGGCTGCGGGGGGCGCATGGCACCCCCAGCCAGCGGCTGGTTCGGCGGCTCGGCGGCTCAGCGGCGCGGCGGCGCGTGGTCGGCGGCGCGTGGTCGGCGGTTCGGCGGCTCGGCGGCTCGCACGGCACGCCCAGCCAGCGGGCTCCAGGCCTGCGCGGGGCGCATGGCACGCTCGGCCCGCGGCTGCCCGACCCGCACCATACGACCACGGGCCGCAGCAGCGCGGCACGCGGGGCGGCGCGCTCGGGCGGAAGCTCCGCGCTCCGTCCCGCGGGCCCGGAGAGGGCTCCCCCCGCCGTGGCCTCGCTGCCGCCCTTCGATCGAGGACGGCGAGCAGGTCTGGTTCAGGAAGGGTGATTTCGACGGCTGCTGGGGCGCCGCCTCAGGTCGTGCTGGAGTGCCTGAGGTCGGGCCTGGGGGACCCCGAGCCCAGCGAAACCGAGTTTGTCCAACGAACCACTCTGGCAGCCTCCGAATTCGAGCGGGGCGATCACCAGGCCGGGGGGCGACCGGCCCCCGCCTGGCCCGGGCAGCGTCGAGCAGGCCCCGCGGGCTTCGCGGTCGGGGCTCCGCGGTCGCGACTGCGTCGCGCGAGCCCTGGGCCTTAGGTCGAGCAGGCGGACACGGCCTTAGGTCGGGCATGTCCTCCGACATGTGGACATTGGGCGAAAAATAATTACTCCGACGGAAGGACCCCACATGATAATCTCTTTAGCTTGCATGGGGGTATCCTCCTGTCCCTTCCCTTCTCCCACCTACTCTTGCCTCCTCGTTCTCCTCCTGTCTGCTCCTCCTCCTGCCTCAACCCCTGCCTCTTCCTCCTCTTCTTGCCTCCTCCACCTCCCCCTCCCCCTCGTTATGCTTCCTCCCTCCCATTCCCCCTGCCCCTCCTGCCTCCTGCCTCCTCCTCCTCCTGCTCTCCCTCTCCCTTCTCCTCCTCCTCCTCCTCCTCCTCCTCCTCCTCCTCCTCATCCCCTGTCCTCCTCCTCTCCCTCTCCCTCATCCGCTTCCTCCTCCTCCTCCTCCTCCTCCTCGTTTCCATATTCCTCCCCCCTCCTCCCCCCCCCTCCTCCTCCTCCTCCTCCTCCTCCTCCTGCCTCCTCCTTAGGCCTCCTGCCCCCTCCTGGGGCCTCCTGGGGCCTCTTGGGGCCTCCTGGAGCCTTCTGGGCCTTCCGGGACCTACTGGGGCCTCCTCGGGCATTCCTCCTCCTCCTTTTCCTCCTCGTCCTTCCTCCCCTCAGCCTCTTCCTCTTCCTGCTTTCCTGTCTCGTCCTGCATCATCCCTCCTCCTTTTCCTGGCAATCCTCCTCCTCCTCGTCCTCGTGCGGAACACGACCCAGAGGAAGCGCACGACGTGCGTCCCAGCCGATACGCGCCGGAGGACGACCCAGAGGAAGCGCGCGCCGGAGGATGACCCGGAGGAACCACGTGAGCTGCGGGACCCATAGGAAGGCTCCCGCCTGACGCGTCCTCACAATTCATTCACAGACGAGGGTCTCGCCTGAGACTTCCTCGCAATTCACTCACAAACGAGGCTCCCGCTTGATACTTCTTCCAAATGCAGACCTGAAGAGCCCAAAAGTGATGACAGTTACAAGAATCCGATGACCCGCTCGGATTAATAACATGATCTGCGGGCCCCATAGGGAGGGGGCTCCCGCTTGACACTTGCTCGCAATTCACTGACAAACGAGGCTCCCGCCTGATACTTCCTCCAAATTCAGACCTGAGGAGCCCAAAAGTGATGACCGTTACAAGAATCCGATGACCCGCTCGGATTAGTAACATGATATGCGGGCCCCATAGGGAGGGGGCTCCCGCTTGAGACTTCCTCACAATTCACCCACAGACGAGGTTCCCGCTTGGTACTTCCTCCGAATTCAGACCTGAGGATCCCAAAAGTAACGACAGTTACAGGAACCCGATGACCCGCTCGGATTAATAACATGATCCGCGGGCCCCATGGGGAGGGGGCTCCCGCCTGAGACTTCCTCGCAATTCACTCACAAACGAGGCTCCCGCTTGATACTTTCTCCAAATTCAGACCTGAGGATCCCAAAAGTGACGACATTTACAGGAATCCGATGGCCCGCTCGGATTAATAACATGATCTGCGGGCCCCATGGGGAGGGGGCTCCCGCCTGAGACTTCCTCGCAATTCACTCACAAACGAAGCTCCCGCTTGATACTTCCTCCAAATTCAGACCTGGGGAGCCCAAACATGACGACAGTTACACGAATCCGATGACCCGCTCGGATTAGTAACATGATCTGCGGGCCCCATAGGGAGAGGGCTCCCGCTTGAGACTTCCTCACAATTCACTCACAGACGAGGCTCCCGCTTGATACTTCCTCCAAATTCAGACCTAAGGAACCCAAAAATGACAACGGTTACAAGAATCCGATGACCCGCTCGGATTAGTAACATGATCTGCGGGCCCCATAGGGAAGGGGCTCCCGCCTGACGCGTCCTCACAATTCACTCACAGACGAGGTTCCCGCTTGATACTTCTTCCAAATGCAGACCTGGGGAGCCCAAAAATGACGACAGTTACACGAATCCGATGACCCGCTCGGATTAATAACATGATCTGCGAGCCCCATAGGGAGGGGGCTCCCGCCTGAGACTTGCTCGCAATTCACTCACAGACGAGGCTCCCGCTTGATACTTCCTCCAAATTCAAACCTGAGGAGCCCAAAAGTAACGACAGTTACAGGAATCCGATGACCCGCTCGGATTAGTAACATGATCTGCGGGCCCCATAGGGAGGGGGCTCCCGCCTGAGACTTCCTCACAATTCACTCACAGACGAGGCTCCCTCTTGGTGGATGATGGTGATGGGATGATGACGACGGTGTTTGATGATGATATATGATTGATGATGATGATGATGATGATGATGATGATGATGATGATGATGATGATGATGATGATGATGATGATGATGATGATGATGATGATGATGATGATGATGATGATGATGATGATGATGATGATGATGATGATGATGATGATGATGATGATGATGATGATGATGGTGGTGGTGGTGATGATGACGACGTGATGATGATGATGATGATGGTGATGATGAGTGCTGATGGTGAGTGATCGTGCGATTCTGATGGTAAATGGTGGTGATGATGATGGGGACGAAGTGGTGAGTCAGCGAGTAGTGATGATGATGATGATGATGATGATGATGATGATGATGATGATGATGATGATGATGATGATGATGATCGTTCGATGCCGATGATGGTGAGTGATCGTGCGATGGTGATGGTGATGCTGATGGTGATGATGATGATGAGTGGGGAGTGATGGTGATGGTGATGATGATGCGGAGGAGGAAGCAAAGAGGAGCAGAGGAGAGGGAGGAGGACGAGAGATCCTGCGCGGAGGGTGTGCAGAGAAAACAAGAACCCCACTTAGGATGTGGGGAACAAATACCCTAATAATATTCAAAACTTATTCAAAAATAGTTTAAAAAATCGTCACCAGACTATTTCTGGACTATTTTTGAATATTCCTCCCGCAGAGGGACAGGCCCAACTTAAACATAGCCGCTTCCCGCGGCCCTTTCCCCTGTCGACGGCTAAGAGGGGAACCAGACGCCTCGCGAGGCGGACCTCCGGAATTCGGGACCTACGCCCCCCAGCACGCACATGAGCTCGCCCGGCGGGCGGATGGCAAGCCTATCGCGCGCGCGTGCGGCAGCCCTGAGTGGGAGCACCCTGCAGAGCAAAGCCTCTACTGCAGGCCTGTCGCGGCGGGGTGCGCGCCGCGCCCGGAGCCAGTTTGATAAAACCTGAGCCCAAACAGCTTCGGAAGTAGCCGTCGCGCTTGCCGCTCTTCCATGCCATACTCCTAGACACAAGTTAATACGTTCATCATCATCGTCACCAGCATTACCACCACAACCACTACCATCATCATCATCATCATCATCATCATCATCATCATCATCATCATCATCATCATCATCATCATCATCATCATCATCATCGTCGTCATCATCATCATCATCATCATCATTATCATCATCATCATCATCAGCAGCAGCAGCAGCAGAAGCAGCAGCAGCAGCATAAGCACAGCAATAATACTAACACGAATACTACTAAGAATCATCAGCATCAGCATCAGCATCAGCATCAGCATCAGCATCAGCATCAGCATCGGCATCACCATCATCATCATCATCATCATCATCATGATCATCATCAGCATCATCATCATCGTCATCATCATCATCATCATCATCATCATCATCATCATCATTGTCATCAGATCATCATCATCATCATTCTAATCATCAGCATCACCATCACCATCAACATCAGCATCATCATCAGCAGCATCATCATCAGTATCAGCATCAGCATCAGCACCAGCACCAGCATCATCATCACCACCACCACCATCATCATCATCATCGTAATCATCATCAGCAATATAAGAGTAATCATGGCCATCATCATCATCATCATCACAAGCATCATCATCATCATCATCATCATCAGCAGCAGCACCATCATCATAATCGTCAGCATCAGCATCGTGAGCATCATCACAAGCATCATCATCATCATCATCATCATCAGCATTCCCATCACCATCATCATCATCGCAACCATCGTCACCATCATCCTCCTCATCATCAAAATGCTGATATGAACCCTGCATCAGCATCACCACGATCATCGTAAGGACGACCATCATCATCATGGCCAACACCAGCATCATCACCACTACCATCACCCATCACCAATCATCATCAGCAGCATCATCACAATCATCATCAATCCTCAATCTCCAACCATCAAGACTCAATCATCAGTCATCATCATCATCATCACCACCATCATCACCATCACCATCACCTTCACTGCCATCATCATCATCATCATCATCATCATCATCATCATCATCATCACCATCACCTTCACTGCCATCATCATCATCATCATCATCATCATCATCACCATCATCATCATCCTCCTCCTCATCATCACCGTCACAATCACCGTCACCATCATACCCACCACCACAACCATCTTCACCATCGTCCTCATCGCTCCTGCGACTGCTACTCCTCCGTTCCGTTCCTCTTCCTCCTCGCACCTCCTCGTCCATCTCTCCGCTCTCGGCCCCCCTCCTCCCACCTCCCTTCTTCCCGCCCCATCCACCCCCCTCTCCACACCTCTCTCGTGCCTCGTCAATATTCGCCCCTCGTCCTCCTCCTCCTCCTCCTCCTCCTCCCTCCCCTCCTCTCCCCTCCTCTTGAGACGAGGAAGGAGAAGGGAGGATGGATGAGGAGGAGGAGGATGGAGGAGGAGGAGGGGAGGGAATAGGAGGAGTAGGATGAGGAGGAGGAGGAGGAGGAGGAGGAGGAGGAGGAGGAGGAGGAGGAGCCATGGAGTCATGAAATCATGGATCGAGGAAGTGCGCGGTGCACAACGCACGCAAGCGGGCTGCAATGGCAGGCAACCGGCCCCCCGGGCCCTCCCCCATGACGGGAGGAAGCGGGCCCGAGGCGGCGGAGGCGGAGGCGGAGGAGGGACGGGGAGAGACGACGGGGGAGGGAGGGGACCAGGCGCGGTGGGAGGGGCGAGGAGAGGGGGAGGGGAGACCCCCTGGCGCGAGGGCGGGTGGGGCACCGATCCCGCCTCAGACGGCGCCTGCGCCAGGGGCGCCACGTGCGCGGCTGCCCCCGACCGCCGCCGCGCATCGCGCCGGGCGCCCTCGGCCTCCAGGGCGCCCCGCACCAGGCGCGGCACGGGCCCCGCCGCGCCTGGGGAGTCGAGCCCGGCAGGGGGGGCCCGCCCCCCCCCCCGCCCCGCCCCTTGCGCTGCCTGCTGCCGCTCTCCTGCTCGCCTGCTCGCCTGCTCCGACCCTGCAAGGGCAGAGGGCAGGAGGCCAGCGCTCCGCGGGGCGCGCTCTGCGCTGTCTGGGTGCTCGCTTCGCCCGTCCTGGCCCTGGACCTGGATCCTCGGACCCCGGCCGATTCCTGCTTTCTGATTCCTGCTCCTGTTCCTGCTCCTGCTCCTTCTCCTGCTCTGGCTCCTCCTACTCCTCCTCCTCCTCCTCCTCCTCCTCCTCCTCCTCCTCCTCCTCCTCCTCCTCCTCCTCCTCCTTACTAAGTTCGGCAAACTTAGATCGACTGGGATCCTGCTGCTGCTCCTCCCCCTCCTCCTCATCACCACTACCACCATCACCACCATCACCGCCACCAACACCACAACCACAACCACCACCATCATCACCATCATCATCATCATCATCATCATCATCATCATCATCATCATCATCATCATCATCATCATCATCATCATCATCATCATCATGATCATCATGATCATCATCATCATCATCATCATCACCACCACCATCATCATCATCAGCATCATCATCAGCACCATCATCATCAGCAGAATCAGCATCAGCATCAGCATCAGCAGCAGCAGCAGAAGCAGCATCATCATCATCAGCAGCATCATCAGCATCATCATCCTCATCATCATCAACAGCAGCATCATACTCGTCTTTACCATCATCATCGCCATCAGCAGCAGCATCATCATCATCTTTGTTCTCATCATCATCATCATCATCAGCAGCATGAGCATCTGCATCATCATCAGTAGCATCACCATCACCACAACAACCATCAGCATCATCATCATCATCGTCACAATCAGCACCATCCTCATCATCATCGGCATCAACATCATCATCATCATCATCATCATCATCATCATCATCATCATCATCATCATCATCATTATCATCATCATCAGCATGATCATCAACATCATCATCAACAACAACATCAGCATCATCACCACAATCATCATCAACAGCATCATCAGCACCAGCATCATTATCATCATCATCATCAGCATCAGCATCATCATCATCATCATCATTATCATCATCATATCATCATCATCATCCTCATCACCATCCTCATCATCAGTCTCATTCTCATCCTCATCCTCACCCTCATCCTCATCAGCATCATCCTCATCATCACCATGATCATCAGCATGATCATGATGATGATCATCACCAGCATCATCAGCATCAACATCATCATCATCATCATCATCATCATCATCAGCATCACCATCATCGGCATCCACAACATAGTCCTCGTCAACATCCTCATCCTCATCCTCATCCTCATCCTCATCTTCGTCGGCCTCCTCGTCCTTCTCAAAGAAACCAGATGGGAACTCTACCCCTGCAGGTCAGATCTCGGAAAGACAGGCTGGGATTCATAATTTGACAGGTGTCTGCAGCGGTGTGAACCCAGCGGGGTGCCCGAAAACCCCAGCGTCGATGGGACCCGTAGGGATTGGGTTCTCAAGCGGTCGCATATCCTCCTCCTCCTCCTCCTCCTCCTCCTCCACTCCTCCTCCTCCTCCTCCTCCTCCTCCTCCTCCTTCCTCCTCCTCTCTGCTCCTCCTCACTCTCCTCTCCCCCCCCCCCTCCATCCTCCCCCCTCCTACCCCCCCATCCCTACCTCCTCCCTCCCTCCCTCCTTCCCTCCCCTCCCTCCCTCCCCTCGGTTCCTGGGGGTTCCAGCGGTTCCCGAGGCGGAGGTTAGCCCAGGAGAGGGAATGTGGGAGGACGACGGAGGGAGAGAGCGATGCGGGCGACGGCCGGAGAACCAGGAGAACGGGGCACGCGGGAGACGGGGGTGAGAGGAAGGGATAGGAGGACGCCAGTAGAACGGGGACGAGAGGCGGGGAGGCGGAGTTCGGCGGCGGAGAAGGAGGAGGAGGAGGAGGAGGAGGAGGGAGTGGAGGAGGCGGAGGAGGAGGAGAAGGAGGAAGATAAAGGAGAGGGAGGAGAAGGAGAGGGAGGAGGACGAGGAGGAGGAGGAGGAGGAGGAGGAGGAGGAGGAGGAGGAGGAGGAAGCGTCCAACACGAAACAGATTCGCGTGAGCGGTTCCCCCTCCCGTTGCTCGCACACCAGCTATCTCTCCCCTCCGCCACTCCCCCTGCACCTTCCCCCGACGCTTCCCACCCGCTGCAGTGGGTCCTCGGCCACAAGGAACCTCCGCAAGAAACCCAACCCTGAAATTCGCGATTTGTTCAGTGAAAATCCAAATGCGTCGATCGAAAATCGTCAAGATCATATCGGGGGCCCATCGCAATCCAAGGAACCCAGGACACCCTGTTAAAATCCAACTGGTTTCTTGGCACGCGCCCCCACTGTACCCTCATCACTCCCCTCTCCCCTCCTCCCCGAACCCATTGATGAGTTTGGGACCCGAGTCGGCGCCTGCGTCGTCAACAAAGGCAAACGCCCAAGACAAGCCCAACAGCGACTTGCGTCCGTCTGTCGAGCTGGCCAGCGCGCTGAGCGGTGTGCTGCACACAAGGGCCTCGACTGCAGCATACAGCCTCAGTTGGAAGCTCATTTTGGCGGTCCATGGCGATCCCATCCCATCCAGAATCCTGGGACCATCCTGTCATGGTTACTCGAATGTGTCTGACGAGCCTGCATTCCTCCAAGAGTGAATTGAAACGTCATGACGCGGATGGGGAAGGCATGGGACCACGCCGAGCCGCGGTGGTCAAGACGTCTGATCCGCTAGCGGTGGTCAGGACGTGGTGGGCGCCAGCAATGATCAAGAAATCTAATGCTATCTCTGTTCAGCGTCAATTATCGCCACGACTTCGTCACGTGACCACACGTTGCGCCACCCCCAAAAGAGGGATCCCTACTAACCGCGAGGCCGATCGACTGGCCACGCCATGACCCAGAGATCGGGCCTACGACTCTGGGCTTCTGGAGCGGTGACGCCCCCCAACAAGACTGGCTTGGCGTGGCCCCAACGAAGGCCGGCTGTCCCCTCCACACCAGTGGGGTCAGAGGGGGGTTACGCGTGACTGCGTGAATAGATCCACCGCACTCCCTTACCAGAGGTACGTGGAAACATCGCCATGACGGCCGCCCCGTCAGCAATCAATCGTAGACCGCCTGGGGCCTAGGAGAAGCGGCCCGTCCTCACAGAGGCAGCCCAATGTCCACCTCATCCCTCTTCCTGCGCAATTTTCCTTTCTCGGTTGCTCCTCCTTCCGTGTACCCAATCATCCCTGCTCCTTCTCTTTCTACGTATTATCACTCTCTTTCTCCTCTTCCTCCTTCCTCTATGTCCCCTCGTCTTCTTCGTCGTCGTCCTCCTCCTCATACTTTTCCTCCTCTTTCTGATTTCCTTCAGTTCGACAGCTATGGCTGCGACAGAGGCGGCTAGCGCTAGATCATATGAATAACAATGGATGCGCAGCTCCAGAGTCAAGGATCGTCGGGCCCCTGGTCTGGATCGGAATGATTCCGCCCCGAAAGGGGAGGAGGTGGGGGAATACGGTCGAGAACCTTTTGCATGGCGTGTCGCGGCGGCGGCCACGGCGAAAGGCTATACCCTGCAAGCGGATAGCGTGTCGCTCCGCTCCGTGGGGCTGAAGGCTGGGAAAGGCTCGGGACGTTGACGCTTGGGAACCGGGAAGTGAAGAGCGTGTCGCGCCGAAGCGTGGCGGGCCAGAACCGGTGGAGCGGCACGATATCCAAAAGTTTCCGACCGTAGTGGAAGTGGGGAGGGAAAAGGGGGGAGATGTGGGATGAAGCCAGGAGGAATCGGGGATCTACTGACCCGGATCAAAGCAAACCCTGGTCAATCAAGCTTTGCAAGATCCTGCAAGAGTCCCGCAAGATCCTGCAAGATCCTGCGCGAAGTCCCCTGGTCGATGAAACCCTGGCTACGCAGGATCCTGCGGGGATCCAGCGCTCTTGCGGACCCCCGTTTGCATTGACCCCGGTCTCATTTCTATCGAAGGAGGGGTAGGAGGAAGAGGGAGGAGGAGGAGGAGGAGGAGGAGAAGGAGGAGGAGGAGGGCGAGGAGGAGGAAGAGGATGCCGACGACGAGGAGGCGAGGCGGAGGCGAGGTGGAGGACGAGGAGGAGGAGGAGGAGGAGGAAAAGGAGGAGGAGGATGTTGATGAATGAGGAGGAGGCGGGGCGGGAAGAGGGCGGAGGGAGGAGGAGGAGGAGGCGGACGGAGGAGGAGGAGGTAGGAGGAGGAGGAGGAGGCGGAGGGGAGGAGGAGGAGGGCGGAGGAGGCGGGGGCGGAGGCGGAGGAGGACGAGGAGGAGTAGAGGAGGCGGAGGAGGAGGAGGGAAGAGAGTGGCAGGAGGAAAGGAGGGAGGAGGGAGGAGAGAGGAGGGCGAGTGTAGGGATGGCAAGAGGGAGCGAGGGTAGAGGGAGGCGGACGAGGTATGAGGGAGTGAGGAGAGGAGGCCGAGGCGGAGGAGGCGGAGATGAGGCGGAGGAGGAGGAGGAGGAGGCGGAGGGAGGAGGGTGAGGAGGAGGAGGAGGAGGAGGCGGAGGAGGAGGAGGAAGAGAAGGCTGAAGCGGGGAGGCGGAGGAGGCGGCGGAGGCGGAGGGGCGGAGGAGGAGGAGGGAGGCGGCGGAGGAAGGTAGGAGGTGGAGTAGGAGGAGGGGAGGAGAGGGGCGGCGGAGGAGGAGGAGGAGGAGGCGGAGGAGGAGAGGCGGAGGGGAGGAGGAGGAGGAGGAGGAGGAGGAGGAGGAGGAGGAGGACATCAGAATTTGGACATCAGGAATGTCGTGGGCCAACCAACCCTCGTGGGATGGTTGAGGGGACCGCCCCGCGAAGCTCCTCCGTGCCCGACAGGCCTATGGGGCCGCATCGCTAGGGCGTCGGGCAGCGTTGAAGCGCCCTGCCCGGGCAGGCCGGGGCAGGCGCGACAGCGCCCCCTGAAGAGGGGGGAAAGGAACGGGGGGGGGAGGGTGAGAAGGCGGAGCGGGCAGGGGCAGGGGCGGGAGAGACGGGGGCACGGTCCAGCAGCGGCCCCGGCTCGGCTGGCGATTCTGGGCCGCCGCGCCGTCGACCCAAAATCCGCCCCCGCGCGCCCCGGCCCCCCGGGGCCGATTCTGGGTCGCGGCGCTGGCGACCCAGAATCACGGGGGGGGCGTTTCTACGCCTGGCGGGGACGGCTCGGCGGGGACGCGCTGCTGACGTTGAAGCGCCCTGCCCGGGCAGGCCGGGGCAGGCGCGACAGCGTTCCCTGAGGAGGCGGGGGGCGCAGAGTGGGGGGGGGAGGGGGCGGAGCAGGCACGGCGGGGGGAGGGAAGGAGGGCGGGGCGGCGCACCGCCCGCGGTCGGGCCTCGTCCAAGCACCCTGGTGCTGATTCTGGGTCGCCGCGCCGTCGACCCAGAATCCGCCCCCGCGCGCCCAGCCGCCCGGTGGCCGATTCTGGGTCGCGGCGCCGCCGGCCCAGAATCCAGCGCCCGCGGGTCTACGCGCCGCGGGCGACGACGGCGGCGACTGCGACTGGGCTGGCGGCGACAAGGGGGGGGCGGCGGCGGCGGGCGGGCCGGCCGGCCGGGCCGGGCGCCGCCCCGCCGACCCAACGCGCGGCCCCACAGCTTCCAGGCTCCCTGGGGCTGATTTTGGGCCGCCGCGCCGTCGACCCAGAATTGACCCGCGCGCCCAACCGCCCGGGGGCCGATTCTGGGTCGCGGCGCCGCCGGCCCAGAATCCAGCGCCCGCGGGCCCACGCGCCGCGGGCGACGACGGCGGCGACGGCGACTGGACAAGCGGCGACGCGGGGGGCGGCGGCGGGCGGGGCTGGCCGGCCGGGCCGGGCGCCGCCCCGCCGGCCCACCGCGCGGCCCCCCGGCAGCCAGGCGCCCTGGGGCTGATTCTGGGCCCCCGCGCCGACGACCCAGAATCCGCCCCCGTGCGCCCAGCCGCCCGGGGCCCGATTCTGGGTCGCAGCGCCGCCGGCCCAGAATCCAGCGCTCGCGGGCCCGCGCGCCGCGGGCGACGATGGCGGCGACTGCGATTGGGCTGGCGGCGACAAGGGGGGGGGCGGCGGCGGCGGGCGGGGCCGGCCGGCCTGGCCGAGCGCCGCCCCGCTGACCCGACGCGCGGCCCCACAGCTTCCAGGCTCCCTGGGGCTGATTCTGGGCCGCTGCGCCGTCGGCCCAGAAACGCCCCCGCGCGCCCAGCCGCCCGGGGGCCGATTCTGGGTCGCGGCGCCGCTGGCCCAGAATCCAGCGCCCGCGGGACCACGCGCCGCGGGAGACGACGGCGGCGACGGCGACCGAGGGCGGAGGCGATGGCGTAGGGGGGGGCGGCTTTTCTACGCCCTGCGCGCGTGCACGTGGGCGCCCGCTACCCTCCCCACTAACTCCACCTTCAGCGCGAGCTCGGCGAGGTGCGCGGTGTCGGAGAGGGCCCACTCGGGGACGCCGCAAGCCAGGGCGGCGTCGCCCACGCGCGCCCGCAGCACGCGCCGGAATGCGTCGACGACCGGGCAATCTGCGAGCAGGTGGTGGAGGCCAGCTGCCTCGCCGCCGCAGAGGGCGCACGCCTCGCCCGGGACAGGCTGGAGTTCCACGCCCCAGACGACCCCCGGGATGGCCCCCGACACGCGCGCCACCATCCACGCCCTGTGGTACTTCCACATGGCCTGGGACCACGGCGCGAAGCGGACCTCCGGAGCCCACGGCTGGTGGAGCGGGGGGAGCGCGACCAGCGGCAGCAGCCCTGTGTCCGCCAGCCGGCCGACTTGCTCCGCGAACCAGCGCGCCTCCGCCGCCTCCATGAGTGGGTCCACCACCCGCGCCGTCCATGAGCGCACCAGCGCCCGCCGTCGCGCAGGGGAGGCCCCCGGCTCCGGGGCCGGCCACTCGGCGATCCCCACGCCCCGCGCTACCTCCTCCGCGTCGCTCAGCCAGGTGCGCACCCCCGGGGACGCCACCGCCGCCTGGAGCACCTCCGAAATGGGCGACGGGTGGGGGAGGAGGAGCATCCGGGCCCTGGCCGTGATGACCCGCTTGGTCAATTTGGTGCCAAGCCGGGCGAGGAGTCTCGCCTCCAGAAAGGCGCGGACGTGCCCGCCCGGGCCCAGCGACCACGGCCGCGTGGCCCCCGCCAGCATAGTAGGCGCGGTTGACCCTGGTGAGGACCGCGGGCCAGCCAACCTCGCAGGATGCGAGGAGCTCGGCCCCGAACAGGGCCGCCGATTCGACCCTGGCCGGGACTTGCGTGAGCTGAAGCGGGACGCCGAATCCGCTGTCCGCCATGGCCGCAATCAACCGGCGGGCACCCGCCAAAAGCTTGGCGCACGTCCGGTCCAAGAGGGGGCGAAGGCTGAGCGCGTTGTCGATGGGCGCGCCGAGAACATCCAGCGAGGCCATGGCCCGGAACGCCTCCCCCGCGATGGCGCCGCACGCGGCGGCGTCGGGGTCAGCCCCGGCCACCGCCATCACCGCGGGCCCCTTGCTCGCCCCGCCCTGAAACCGGTGGCGCCAGCGCGTGCACCAGGCGGAGAGCGCCTCCGCCACCGCCGCCACCTCGGAGTCCGTCTCTCTGGCGATGAAGGAGTCGTCGACGAATTGGAGCATGGAGAAGGACAGCGCGCCGGCCTCGGACACGGGCGGCCCGAGCGCCACACCGGGGCCAGCCCCCACGCCCGCGTCGATGAGCCCCCGTACCAGGACCCCGAAAAGGTGGACACCAGCCCTGCGCCCCTGGCCGACGCCGAAATCAGCCACCTGGAACGCCGCTGCCGCCAGGGCGCCCAGGCGGACACGCACCTGCTCGGGCCCCAGCGAAGAGTCCGCCGCGACCCACCACCGCCCCCGAACCCCCGCGAGCCAAAGGCCGAGGCGCACGGCGTCCCGCCAGGCGAGGTCGAACCCGTGCAGCAGGTCTGCCTTGGCCAGGACCGTCCTGAGGCCGGCCGCACGCCGGAGCTGCAGCAGCATTAGCAGTCCCCCCGTCATCAGCACGGCGTCGAAACGCCCGCCCGCTTGGGGGGCGCCGGCGAAGGCCTCCAGGTGGCCGCGGGTCACCTCCAGCCACGCGGCGTCGAAAAAGCCCTCGAGGTCATCTACGTAGGAGACGGGTCGGAGATTCTCCAGGGCCCTGACGACTGGGGGGCCGCGCTTGCGGATCGGGGCCACCTCGCGCGCCCACAGCGAGGCGGTGAGGCCCGTGGCCATGGCCAGGTT